GGGGGTTGGGGGGGGCGTAGTCTTTTTAATTATTATTTCTAAATATACGTTGCAGTGACACTGGCTTTTGCGTCGATCTGTCTAAAACAACCACGTTTCTGCTCGACAATGGGTGGCCGATTCAGACCATCTCGACTATATTTCGAAGTTTGAGCGACTGGTTCATACGCTGGGAGGTAATGTTCTATTTTGGAAGGAAAAGAGAGAAACGTAATTCAGAAACCACACATGAATTACGTGACAGTATAATTTGAATAAAACTCCAGCGCTCAATAATAATTAATCATGACCGTATGCAGTTGCGAACGTCGTAAAACTTTTACCAAAACGAGCTAAAACTGAAGGATCGTACACTTTAAGATATATCCAGGAAACATGTTGGAATGGGAATTATAAGGAGTTTTATACATTTAATTTTATTAGCGTAAATTGTCCTGCCATACATACTTTGTATTTTGATTTAATTTGATCCTAACTACATGTATTACTTGTATTTTTACTCATTCAACTTATCTTATTGTTCTTAAATTAAATTATGTATTTCTGGAAAGCTAAAAGGTGTATTACGTTCTAAGACACTATTGTCGTTTCACTTAATATAATGCATTCTACCCTCCGCTTAACACAGATCTGTTTGTGTTTCCTTGTGTTTGGTCACAGTTGGTCACAATGTGGAAATGTTCGTGTGCTTTTTTTTTTGGGGGGGGGGTGTTGTTGTTGTTGTTGTTATTGTTGTTGTGGTTTTTTTTGCTTTCAATAAATTTATAACATTTTATAATTCCCTGTCATTAGATGAGTCGTGTTTCTGCAAGTGATTTTGGTGTGGTTTGTTTTTTTTTTAATATTTTGTTTTGTTTCGATTATTTAGTTTTTTGGTCCTTTGCTTTTGCGATGATTTTTTTTTGTAGGTTTACACACTAGACGTGTTCAGTAGGTTTACACACTAGACGTGTTCAGTAGGTTTACACACTAGACGTGTTCAGTAGGTTTACACACTAGACGTGTTCAGTAGGAAATTTTGAATTTTGCCCGGGTGGCGGCCGAAGCCTACTCTTATCGATTTTTGACCACTGAGGGATCTTTAAGGTGCACAACTTTCACACGGGACCTCCGATATTTTTCGCTCTTGTTCGAGAAGGCTAAATGTAGATCTTTCCTACCAGAAGAACAGGGGTGTGGCTGAAAGACGGCAGTAAGAAGGAGCCAAGGAGAAGCAGTGGAAAGGCTGCAGAAAGAGTCAAGAGCCCAGAGGAGGGGGCAAAGGGGGTGAGGGGGTGGGGGCAGAAAGGGGAGACAAAAGAAGACGACAGAATATTGCTAGAGAGCAGGAAATGAAAGTGAAAATAGACAATTTTCAAGAAGAACATTTTCCCGTCGCTACCCGGATTCGAACCCGTGACCTTTGAATGAGAGGCGAATACCTTAACCTCTAAGCCGAAAGAGCCTCCTCTGTATAGTGTGAATGTATGCTATATAAATAGTCGCTTTTAAGGACAAGCGGGCTAATCTAAATTTTGTGGGTTTCCAGAAATCTTTACCAACACCAATTATGGGCATTTCCCTACCTATAGGAGAAGTTTGGTTTAATTTGGTGTGTATATTTGTTTGGTTATAAGAAAAACTCTCCTTGTCTTTTAAAGAAACTGAACAAGGGGCAAAGACTTTACCTTCGATTTTCTCAAAACAGCATTTTTCGGGATAGCCCCCTTGTGCCTAAAAGCGGCCAAATGAGATAATTGTATTGTGTCATATAACCATCTTTTGTATTTTTGCTTTAAAGTATCCATATTAAACTATCTACGGTTTCTATTTTTAATTCAGATGACAACAACGACCTAGAAAAGAAAGAGAAAAGTGAGGATATTCTTGAGGAGAAAAATGACCCTTCCTCGCACAAAGAGACACAAGTCGCCACAACCTTGAAATGGTAAGTCTTGAAAACATTTTACCGTACAAGAGTCATTCACGTCAACTATTTAAGAAGGAATACCCTAACCCTATTAAATTGTTGTCAAATATCATAGAAAATCTGTACGTGGTTGGCGGGTGCTCTGGTGTGGTTCGCTTATGCTGCTTCTTGCTGCTGCTTCTTCTTTCCTATCAAACATCTATCGTCCTAATCTTCCCTTCTTCGTGTTTATGTTTGTTACTCTCTTGTAACACCACTAATCGTCTGGCGCTGATATGACCTTATGCAGTTGAGAGCGCCGTAAAACCTCTATTAAAACTAAAAAACTAAAAAATTATCAGAGCGGAGACATCTCCGTTCTGTTATATATGGTATAACTGTTCGTCTCAACAAAGCTTCTTCCTCATGTATCTTTGGGGTATTCAATGCCCAAAGTGACTCACACAAACAGAATATTTTCTAGGTGCCTTTCTTGCTCTCATCTCTAAAACTGACATTATGTGTGGGTTTTTTGGTTGGGTGGTGAGGGGGTTGGCCGAGGGGGTTGCTATTTGTTGTGAGTGTGTGTATGTGTGTGTGTGTGTGTATGTGTGTATGTGTGTGTGTGTGTGTGTGTGTGTGTGTGTGTGTGT